ATATATATATATATATATATATATATATATATATACTGTATATATATAATGTCAGTATATATTATATCAATAAATAAATTATATAAATGTGAAAACATGTTCTGTAACATATTTTAGGTTTCCATACACAAAAATATTTTCGGATATATATTTTATATTTTAATTTGAGAAAATATATACAGTATATATTTTATATTTATCGTATATTGTTTGTTTTATTCATAATTTGTTTTTATGTTATTTGATACATTTTATATGCATTCTATAAAAAGAAAGGGTGTTTTTTTTATTTGAATTGTAAATTTGTTTTTTTTTTCGTTTACACCAAATCTTGGTTCATTTTTACCTTTTTTTGAAAGTTCCCTCAGAATGTCTCTTTGCGCTCGTGAATCCCTTACCCCTCGCCGGAAGACTTTCCACTGTCTCTGTGCTGCACGACCAGATGATATATGAGTGTTACATTACATAAACTGAACAAAACAATGCCCACATTTCCAAACAAAAAGCCCTCAAACAGCTATAAAGTGAAGATTTCGTGTTTAAGCACTTGCATACTAGGAATTTATTACTTCAAGTGCTTTTATCATAAATTATTGCTCAGAAACAGACTACAAAGGACATAAAACACCATAAAAGGCCATTTCTCCAACCTTGTGCTGTCATCTTGAAGTGGGACACAGATGCTGTGTTGAACAAAGAGGAGCAGAAGAAGACCAGCGAGATATTTGACGCCTTTCATCTTGACAGCTTCTTTCAGTTCTGAAGACACACGTTCTGTAAAGATGAGAGAAAAAACACTTTTGAAACCAACCGAACATCTACAAGGCTCTGAGTCTCTCAAAGAGCTCCTTCAACTTACCAATTGATGGAAGAGTTGAGTGTGTTTGGATCTTCTCCTGTTGGTTTCGTGGCCTCTTCTCAATCGTCTGGGTCTTATATAGTCGGTCCAGGTGGGCCGTCCCATCTCGGCAGCCCACACACACACGTACGTTTGCGTTCAGATGCATTAGTGTCAGTCCATTACCCACTCTGGATGAAACCGCTCGTGTTTGCGTAAAGAGAGAGATGTGCCAAAGTACCTCCAGATAAGAGCCGTCCTGGAGGTGTGAGACAGCAGGATGGAGGCTTTCGCAAATAAACCCAGAGAAAAATTACGTGCGAAGTGCTATTGTAGGCAAAAATCAAAAGGGGGAAACGGATACTCTGTTCATGAGAACGTGATAAACTGACTTTTCATGTGTTTTTTTAGTCACATATGATTCTTATGTCCAACTCGAGATGCTTTGCACTGATCAAAATCAGTGTGCTTTGATTAACACAAATCATTTTAATGCAGTATTAATATGTCAGTGACAACATTGTATAAACAAAAGTGGTGGACAAAGTTTCTTCATACAGTATATAAAAATTCCCAGAATTTGATTACTAGCATATCAAATATTTATATATTTGTTGTTTTTAATTTATTTTGTTGAAAATAGTACAATTTGTTGTGCATTAATAACAAACTTAAAATTTAATTGTATTAAAAATGCTATTAATAAATGAGCTTTTTAATAAAATCGGGTTAACAATAAAATCACTACTTTAACTAGAAAAATATTTTAATATTTTTTTTGTAAAAGACAAAAGAGGCTTGGCTTGTAAGAATGAATGGATTTTGAATATATTTCATACTTCTTAAACTTGAAGAAAATGTTATTTAATATGTGTAAAGTGTAAACGTGCAAATAAGTCACAAACAATTGTGCACATTTTTGTTACATTTTATTACAGATTGAAAATATCTCTGCTATATTGTACAAGTTATGGCTTGTATTTTAAAAGTAATGGCACATACAATAAATATTTTCTTAAAAACTCCGATAAGATTTCTTGATACTATACAAAGCTTGATAAAAAATATTTAAAGTGTGAAAATATTTTTAATGCATTAGTTTATGTTTAATATATTTGAATTTAAGAATATTAAAATATTAAATTAACATTAATCTTTTTGTACTTTACATGAAAACTTACAGCTGGCAATGAACTTGATTTGGAAAATACACAATATTGCTCTCCCTAGCTTAAAATAAATTATTATTAATAATAAATAATAATAATAATTAAATCTGAGAGTATTTAATTCAAATACCTTTTTTTTTTTGGAAACAAAAGATTACTCTCATTTTTCTTTAGCTAGCTCATCAAGCTTTGTGTTTACCCAGTAAATATTTCAATGTTTTTTCGGTGTACTAAAGACTCATGACTCAGTTGTTCAGACTGTACATTTGAAACTGATAAACATGACTAAAACGAGTCCGTCTTTGCAGCACAGTACTGTAGCTAAAGGGTTTCTTGTGGATTCAGTGGCAGCTGATGGGGAATCGCACACGCCTGACGCGTTTGAGTGCGTCAAGTGGTCTGGAAGTAACGTGGATTCAGTGCTGTGGGTCCTGGGTGGGCTTATTTGGTCCAGTGGAAAGTTTCACAAGTTCAAGCAAAGCAGTTTTTCAGAAAGTGACTCATATGAGTGTAGACGTGCTGATTGGACGATCCGCCGAGACCGTGGTCTTCATCAGTGTACCACTGACAGAGAGACAGAACAGATCACCAGTGAAAAACACTTATATATCTATTACCATATATCTATTTTAATACTGTTTGGAGCTGCTTTATGGATTGTTGACATGAACAATTCACGTCTTCCAGTGTGACATGCAAAAAACTCTGATGATGCTAATTCTTTTATTAATGTTTAGTAATTGTTTTACAATGTTATTGGTTTTAAGAGACTAAATTAAATGTGTACTTTTAAAAATGAATTTGCTATACTGCAGGACAATTTTAAAAAGGCATATATATAAAACAAATATAAAAATAAATGTAAAAAAACAAATTAAGAAACCTTTTTATATATATGCAATACTTTCAGTAATTTATATATAATATTTTTATTTATGATATAAATGTAGGCATAACTTTGTATTACTTAATATATGTAGAATTTTATATTTGATCAATTAATATGTAATAATATAAATTATTATTATATTTGTATTACTATATTCATTAATTTATTAGAATAACTTTGCATGAATAGAATGCAATTCTGCTGCTGTCTTACCATTGCATCAAAGTCCACTTGTTCATCCACGAGTGCTTTAGAGATCTGAGCAGCTTGTTGGAAGTGAACATTATCTAACAGCACCAATGACAAACAGAAAAAAAAAAAATAATGTGATGAGTTTTCACTTTAACGTCACGTCATTGGTGATATTTTAAAGATATTTACATGTTTATGAAATTTAAATAAAATAATAAAAATATTTTTTTTATTGATCTAAAGCTCAAAATATCAAGGAAACATTTCTGTAGTTTTTAGGAAATATTTTGAATACTTATTAACTAAAATGACTTAAAAGAAAAAAATTAAATTTTTAGGATATTTAAAGAAACAGAAAAAGTAAATAATATATAAGAGCTGAATATGAAAATTTCAGTGAATCAGATTTATGCATTGTACATAATTTAATAAAAATGAACAATATTAAAACAGTTTTTAAAAACACATTTTTTTTTTCATATTAATTTAGTTTCATTTCCATTTATTTAAGTTTTATTTAAGTTTGCTCCGTTGCAGAGACAGGACAAGAGACAGAGATATAGACAGACGGGTCATATCTCACCGTCAGCGGTGCCGTGCACCAGGAGGTACTGGACTGATTTAAAGTTCTTGGCTCTTTCCATCACTGTGGAATTCTGAATAAGAATAATAACATCCCATAAATCCCGTGTGACGCAGCACTTGCGTGAGTTATTTTAGAACTGACTCATGCTTCTCTGTGACGTCATCATGGGGAAACCAATGAGTTTATCAAACAATTTTAGAATTTCCAAGCACAACTTACATCATAAAAGGCCTGGTTCTCCGCTGGCGTCAGCATGTACCTCTCAGTGTAAACAGAGTCTGGGGGAAATTACAGTACAACGGTCTTAACACATGATGGGAAAATGAAATGTACAAGCATAATCAGTGCTGGGTAGTAACGGAATACATGTAACCTGGATTACATGATCAGACCCCAAAAATTAAGTACTTGTAATTAGATTACATTACTTTTGAAAATGCTTATAATCAGATTACAGTAACTTTTTTATGGATTACAAGATAACATTCCCACAATGGAAGTAAATTATTCGAAATGTATTGATTTCATGATATTGATAAACGAATGAAATCTATTTTCTTTCTTTGTTTTATTTGTTGTGTTTTAATCAGTATGGTACACAATAATCACATTGAAGTCTATGTGACAAACGAGCTAGGTCAAAAGTAATCTAAAAGTAATCTAAAAGTAGTCAGACTACATTACCTAATATGTGTAATCCAGGTTATGTTACTTAACTACAATTTTCATCATGTAATGTGTAATCAATTACAGACCACAATTTGCAAGTAATCTGCATTGACAATAACACATAAAGCATACCATAATAGTCCCATTTTGACACCGGAGCGACGGCCATTCCGCATTTAAAAACTCCACTTCCAGCTCCCAGAACCATCGAAGTGACGTAGCCGCCGTAAGACTGCAGCACAAACACATGGTTACTTATACAGTGGCCCAAAAGGATGTATTTGGACTTAAAATGCATGAAAACCAAAGCAAGTGTCATTATTTTAAAGACACATAAAACAAGAATCATCCCTTTAAAATGAAGTTGGTCAGATTCATGATATCAGAACAAAGATTTCTGGTAATTAAACTTACCCAGCCCCAGATGGCAATCCTGTTTTTATCTATGTAACCCATGTCAATAAAGTGTCTAAAAATGAAGAAAAATATATATAATTGTCATTTCTAATAAATTCAATTCAAATGTCAATTATATGCAATGTAATACAGTGGGTACGGAAAGTATTCAGACCCCCTTAAATTTTTCACTCTTTACCAATTATTATAGTTAAAATGTGAGTGAAATATTGCTAGTATACTTCACTACAATTTTTCAGTGTAGAGATGTTGCAAGATGGTTTCTAGGGTCTTCAAGGTGGTTGCTAGAGCATTGCTAAATTGCTAGGTGATTGTTAGAGTGTCGCTAGATGGTTTCAAGGGTGTTCTGGGTGGTTGCTAGGGCATTGTTACGTTGCTAGAAAGTCACTAGGTGGTTTCCGGGGTGTTCTGGGCTGTTGCTAAGATGTTGGTAAGTTACTAGATTGTAGCTAAAATTGGTTTCTAAATTGGTTTCTGAAGTATTCTAGGTGGTTGCTAGAGTATTGCTAAGTGGTTTCCAAGGAGTTCTGGGTGGCTGCTAGGATGTCGTTAGGGTTATTTGGGTGATCATTAGGGGCATTGCTTGATGGTTTCCACGGTATTGCTAGTACATTGCTAGGGCCACTAGAGCATTGCTACAGTTTGTAGCTTCCAGGGTGTTCTTGATGGTTGCTAGGTCGTTACTAGGTTGATCTGGGTGGTCACTAGAGCTTTGCTAGGTGGATTCCAAGCTGTTCTGGGGTGCGTTTCCCAAAAGCATTGATAGCCAACTATGGTCGCAAGTTCCGTCGTTACCAACATAGTTCAGTGATTCAGTGTTTCCCGAAACCATAGTTCAAACGAACATTCGCAAACTTACGTGGTAGGAACTACAGCTCTCGACCTGTGGTTAGAAGTATAGTTTCTTGTTAGTAAGACATATGGACTTATGGATTTAAATTATGCTCTTGGGCACAATAAGCAAGCTAACATGCATAGGCGTAGCTTGACGTTTGAGTTTGGGGGGGCCAAACCGAACCGGTGGATTTGGTCAGACGTACATTTAAACACATTTTAGTTTTGCTATAGTAAATCTACATATTCACATTCACATAGAGCAGTGGCAAGTGCTTGAGGTTGTCATGGTAACCACAGTACAATCTATATCTTCCATTCAATTT